CTTTAGACAAGAATTTTCATGATGACTAAATTTTTTATCTTTCTTGTATTTGAGATTTCACATTACCAGCAAGTCGAAATATATTAAGAATAATGCATAAAAAGAAGTTAGCAGGAGCCTTTGAAGTTGAAACTAAATTTAAAATGGATCCGCTCCGGAAATTACAAGAGCGCAAAAAAGTTCAGAAGCATTTTTGAATTACGGTTTTAATAAGAAGCAATTTTTATTCGATATTTCAATTTTGAAAAATGATGACCGATATTTTTTACTTAGCAAATATTCTCGAATATGGCCTACAAGTTATAGAAATTTTTTTTTCTGAAAAAGGTTGAATTAAGCTGACTTTATTTATAGTAAATTTTATTTTCTTCGAATATTTTTAATTTATCAGGAAGATTAATGTGTTTCGATAATCACATTATTATTTAAACAAATGTTCTAGAATCAAAACATAAAAAAATTTTATGAAATAATTAATATTAAATTTCAGGTTGTTTTTATGTTAAAAACAAACTATTTTGCTCTTTCTTACTCTATGTCATAATAATGGGAATTACTCTAGTATTGTTCTAAAATCTAAAAACAATCAATAGCATATGATTTAAACTAAAAAAAACTAATTTGTTTCAGTAAAACTATTTGTTTAAAACAATAAGACGAAGACTTTACCTTATCAGATATTATTGGTGATACTTTTGAATCAGATATGATTGGTAACTAAAATTGTAACTTAACTATTATAGATTTAAAAAAAAGTTTAGCCATGTTTAAACACTGAATAGCAAATCCGATATTTCAGATTTTTAATTGTATTTTTCAGACAGTGCTTAATTTTTCTAATACCGGAATTTAAGATTTTAATTTAATCCTTTAAAACAAATACATCATAGTGCAATGTACACAAAAGTTTTTACAACACAAAAGTTGCACAAAAGTTCAGCCATATTTTAACACTGAATAAAAAATTCTGTATTTCTGACTTATAATTGTATTTTTCAGACTGTGGGTAATTTTCCAAATAGCAGAATTTAAGATTTTTTCAAAATAAAAACAGTGAGTCTTCGTAACTACAGTTATTCTAACCTTTTACCTGTGGGAGTTCTCGTAATATCCAGATATACATCAAATGCGGCAAAAAATCACAATCTGATTATTGTTAAATTACATGCAAATTTTAGTTCGTGGTGCCTTTATTGATGAAAAAATCTTTTATTGAAAAATATTTAATTTATAAATTCTTTCTTCTACAGGATGTTGTTATGGTGATAGTCAGGTCTACAAGTGTGCGCCGTTCGACAATGCTGTGTGTTGTCCTGGTGGAGACTACAGTTGTCCTCCAGGAAAATCTTGCGTCAAAATTCTTTGGTGGTACATTTGCGTAAATGCTATGGCACTTTCCAGCGACGGAAGCTACGATTTTCAAAAGGGTCTCTCGGAAGCGCTGATGAATGCTAAGAGATATGCTTAGGAAATACAAAAGATGTTACTGAAATGTATTTAGAATGTATATAAGATATTTATAAATGTCTAAGAAACGACAAGCAATAAAGGACTTGTTTTCATCCATATGCATGTATTTATGTGAAGTTACTTTACATTTTTTATTACAAAAAAAACCTTTTAAATATTGTATTGAGATATTAAATTAATCCCTTTATATTGAAACTAATTTATTTTCATAAATTAATCTCTTATATTAAAATCATTGGGACCACCTTTTTTTGTATGTCAAGTAAAGTTATTAAGAAGCAATTAGGAATTTAAAGTTGCGAAGGACTAATAAAATGATCAGGGATTATGATGGAATAATAAAATAGCTTTTGGTAATTTGTTTGTATAACTTTTAAACTTGTGGGGAAAAATATCATCAGGACAACTCTTGGAGTCATAAAATAATAAGTAAAATATTTTCTTGAATCAGCATTATGTTGCCCTTTATTGGTAGTGTTCAAAAATATTTAAATAAAAAAAAATAATAAGTTGCCTGAAGCAGTAAACATTACAGTTTTAGCATTTTCATTCTTTTTACCAACATGTAGTATCAATAAATTTTTTATATTATTAGCTTTATTAAAATAAAAGATGCAAAAAACATCTTCTCTATTACCATGTATGGAAAAATTTTAAGCCTTTGTTAAATCTACCATTTCATATTACAAGTTGATATAAAAAGAATATTTCATAACTTTTATAATAGTCAAGTTTATACTATAAATCGCTAAACTTGCTCTAATTCAAAGTATATAATATATAGAAAGTATATCGAAATAAAGTAAAAAGTATAGAGCATATAGTATAAAGTGTATAGAAATAAAGCTTAATAAATGGTCGCTAACAAAATGGAAAATGTAGCAGAAGGAAGAGCTGTTAGTGGAACTAAATTTTAAATGCTCTTTTATTTCAAATAATAAAATTCGTGTCATACGAATATTGAGGCAAGTTGAATATTGATGAATATTGAATAATATTAATGTGAAATGTATACTTAAAAGTCAATTAATTAACGTTCAAAAAAATTCTTTATTTTAACACTATCTAACATTCAGCTTTAAAAAAATTTTTAAACTAAAATATGATGGAAATTTTTTAATTCATTTTCTTATATTATTACTTATTTTTTAAATTTTAATTTATAATATTTTAATTTATTATTTTTTTTTACTAACAGAGTATTAACAGATGTTATTAACAGGGGATACAAAAAATGAAGCATCCTTAGTTTTGTTAAAGCCTTAATTTTTAGAATGCAGCAAATATAATGAAAATTTTTAAAATAGCCACCTAACCAAAAAATAGTAAATTGAGGGAGACAGGAGACACAGTTTCGCCAACTCAACAGAAATAATTTTAAAATCAGAGTGGAAAAAATTCTGGGGCAACGCTAAACTGTTTGATTTTCACTCAAAAGTAATTTTAAAACTATCTCTCTATATATCGCTGCTATATATTACATACAAAGCATTTTTCACAACTAGATAAATTAAAATTGTTTTCAAATAACAGTTGATTTAATTGGAGTTAAATACCAGGCAAAGAAGTCCGGTAATAGCAATTTGTTTGCATCTGACGTATTAAAATGGTATTACCCAAGCAATATTTTTAAAATACAAATTTCAATGTATATGCAATACATTTACTTAAAACACATAGTTCACTATGTTGAATGTGTAAAAAATTCTCTTTGAAATATTAATTTAGCAATTAAGATTATTTAAAGTCAAGGGACTTCAAATGTACAAGCTTTTTGAAACTACCCCATATAAATTTAGGAACATAAATTTAAAATAAATAAATGCATTTATGTAATAAAATTATAAACATGGCAGTATAAATCTGTATTGTAGTGTGTTTGTATTCATAAGTCATGCCGATATATAAGCCTAACTTATGTTCATTAAGTAAAACTTAAATTAAGACATCATATTACATTTCAAAATGTGAGCGAAAATCCATTGAGCATTACTTTTACTTGGTAAACAAAATAAAATACAATTTCTTATAATATTTGTCCATAAACAAAGTTGTATATAAATTCTACATAAATAATACATCAATATATGCTGGGAAAGTAAATGACTTAAACTCAAATTAAAACATTTATTGCATTTTAAATGTGAGTGAGATTCCATTAATCACTACTTGATAGATAAAATAATGTACTGTTATTGACAATATTTATTTATAATCATAATCTATATACATATTTCTCTTACACGGCAACAAAAAAAGCCTCATTACAACTCCCCGAATGGCAATGCAAGAAAATCGACCAATAATTGTAGCTAAAAATGTCACATGCCAAATCTTGCTGAGGTGGCTCAACACATAGCGCTTTTAAAAACGGAAACTGAAATAACCAGAGAGAGCATCAGCAGGTTTTTCATATCATCTGCTGCAATTTCATACTATTAAGCTAGGCAGAAGTGAGTAGTCTTTGTCGATAGATCTCTATTTTAGTATTTTGTCAAAAGCGCTTTTTTTCACGAATTTATATAGACTAAACCAGTTTTTAGTCATGGACAACTTTATGTTGGCCTCTCTAGGGTTAGATCATTTGATAGCCTAACAGCGATAGCTCTAAGTCCAGAAATTTATAATTGTGTGTTTAAGGAAGTTCTTAGTCTTTAATAGTAATTATTTTTTTGTTATTAACAAAGCCCTTAATCTTTCTCAGTATTTGTTCGCATTTAGTATTTATTGCAAATTAATGTTCAGTTTCTGCAAGTATTTCTTTTGTATGTCAAACTTCTAAGACTAATACTTATGTTTTTAACAAAGTTGTGAATCGTTCATGGTTATTATTTTTTAAAAACACAATGTTTTGTTTATGCCGGTTTTCCCTTGCAATTCACTTATTTCAATTTTTAATAGACTTAATTATAGCCAAAATCTTAAACTTTTTAAAGAGATATTAGTTTCAGAAATTTTATCTTAAGATGTCATACTATAGCACATTTCTAATAGGTTTAACGAATTACATGTCATCTATTTGAATTCAAATTTATTTTAATGACTTAGTATTTACTAAAAAGATGTTGTTGTTTTTTTAAAAAAAAGTTGTTATTTTATTTATTTATTCATTTTTTTGAAGAAGAAGGTAAAAACACATGATTCTTGAACGATCCGGATAATTGGATAATTGGATCCGGATAAAACGGGAGTTCCGATAATAAGCGCTCTACTATATATTTATACATTTAATTAGGTTATCTTTAAAACAGCAGGCTGATTCATTCTACCTATTATCTAATACTCAGGAAACAAAATATTCCTAAAAACAATTATTTTGATTCAATAAGGAATTTAGCTGGTAAGCGGCACACTCGGTAAAAAAATACAATAAATCAATATTTCAGATAGACCAATAGGATTATTTCAGGATCCCTTCTTTCTTATCTTCTTTTAAAAGATCCCAGTATTGTTATTTTGACTACTTGATCAACATTTTTTTTTCTTAATGATACAAAAGAATTTGGTTTCACTTCCACTGTATACTTTATTCATGCAGTCTTATCAATTGTTGTCAAAGATAATTTTAGAGTTGTTTTACTATATAAATCAGATGCTTTCGAAATAAAAATTATTCCGAAATACTTATTTATACTATTGTTCTGTAACTTGAAAATATCCGAAGCACTTCATCATGTAAGTATTTATTATTAAATTGCATAAATAATTAAGTGATATAATACTAATAATTGTTTCATTAAATTTTCACTGTTACGGCTTATATATAGTCTATATACAGTTTATATATAGCTTAAAAATTCATTTCTTAGTACAAGTATTATTTCGATTTACACTTTATCATGTAAGAATTAAATATTATAACTAAATCATTGACCTATAAATGTAAATTTTTTAAATTTATCTCATTGTTTATATTTTTAAATGGAGCTTAAAAAATTTTCTGTTTTGTTAGTAAGATTATTATATTTATTTAATTATTTGTTGATAATTATAACTATTAAATTTATTTGAAGTTATTGCTTTCATTTATACTTCCCGATGCAATAATTAATTATTTAATATTATAAATAATAACTTGATCTAAAACTGTAAATTTTCTCTATTATTTCATGAAGTCCTTACTGTTTATAATAAATAGAAGTTAAAAAATTACTGTTTTGTATGTAAAATTATTATATTTATTTATATTTTGAAATAACAGATATTGTTTTTAAATTTTCCTTAATGTGTATTGGTAATTAAAAAAAGTTTACGTTATAACATTTTTTGTACCGAAGGTTCGTAATGTGAATTAAATAATGTTGGTAGTAAATAAAATTATTTACTTATATAAAGCTATTAATAAAACTATTGAAACCTTCAACGAATTTCTACGCATAACTGAATGAAATTGTTAATAAAATCTACGTCTCTTTAAGCTTTTTAAGTGTTGAAATAAAATAAATTCGCCGAAAATTTATAAATGTTGTTTTTAATTTTCGCAACTAACTATTTAATTCAACTAAATTATTATATTTGCAGCTAAATATTGTTAAACGACAAAAAATTTATGATGTTATTTGTTAAAGCTAAAAGTGATACTGTTTGTATAACTATTGTTTATAACTTATTTTTATAACAGCTTTATCAAAGTTTAATAGCAACAACAAATAAACTAAGAAGATGAAAAATTATAAATTTAATACTTATAATGTATTGTTGAATGATAAGGATTTAATGATTTTATCTTCCAACAATAAAAGTGAGAAAAATTTTACATTTGTTAATAGATACAAGGCAAACTTTTAGTATTTTTAAATGATAACTAAGCACATTGTTTCCTAACGATTAAAATACGACTACTTGAAATTTCAATTTCGTAAATGCTTTATCTATGTTTCCTGTATATAATATTTAAACTTTGAAGATAAAATTTAAATTTTTGTATTGTTAAAGGATAAAAATATAAAATCATTTGATAAAATTAAAAATGAGGCAGATCGAAAATTCGTTTTTGAAAATTTGTCATCAATATTCATTAACAATGATAATTAAACTATTACTACGAATAATGAAACATTAAATACTAAAATTCCATAAAAATATTTCATTTGAATAAATAAAAAATAACTATATTACTTGTTAACAGTAAAAGTGAGACACTTTCTATTTTATATTGTACATTATCAATAACAATTAAACTGTGAAATAAAATAATTAAATGTTCAATACATTTGAATGAAGATAAGGAAAAGTTTCATTTTTGTATAAAGATACAAATTTAGTGACATAATTCACAAAGAAAGAAAATGAAATTGTTTAAGCCTTCATTTTTTAAACTGTTTCATCACTTTATATGCAAAAACAAAGTAAAACAACAAGACAATGACAATAACAATAACAACAAATTATAAACAACAATTTGGACAACAACTGCCTTAAGAGTCGAAATATAGAAACTGTAAACAAATCCTGAAAACTCCTACTTGCAATGATATATCTAAAAAGATGCATTTGTTTAATGAAATTGGATAACATTTTGAAAAATTTAAATCTCACAAATGTGAAAAAGTGTTTTTAGGAAAACGATTGTCTTGTAGTTTTAGAAAAATGTTCTCAAATGTGAGATTCGAAAATTAAAAGTTAAAATGCTTCTTTGTCCTTTCCTTCTCTTTTCAAATTGCATACAACGAGTAAATTTTAATTAGTCGATATCACTTTGAAAAACCTTTTAAAAATTATTCATACTTATTTCTTGCTTGTTAGTCAAGTATCATTTAAGCTGCTTTGTTTGTTCACGGTTATGTAGGAAGGTACTACTTGCTGTCGTTGGCGTCCTATGCTTGGCATCATTGGCTGCTGCTGAGACGTGTGGCTGGGGATCTTACCCTGGAGTTGGCAGTAAGTAAAATTTTATATCTTGTAGGGAATCTAAATCATTTTAATGTGTTTTCACCATACATTTCGCATTTTTTTAAGTAGAATTAATTTTACTAGCTCCACAAAAATATTTTAAAAAACGTGTTGAATAATGTTTATAAAAATGTCATAAAAATATTAGCAATTTTAGTTAAATATTGATAGCAATTTATTAAAAAAAACATTAAAGGTCATGCATATTGTTAAACATTTAAAATAATTGAATCTGAATTAAAAAAATTTCAAGTGTTGAAAGAGACATTTTTATTTAAAAAGTTAACGAAAATTTTGTTTGGAAATTTCAATTTGTTCAAAAGTTGCTACGAATTAAATAATATTTCGGAATTTTTCCCGTTTTTTTTTTGCTTTAAATATAAACTATTTATCCAGTATAAAAAGTATACATGTTGATAGACATGAAATTTTTAATTATGAAAAAAAAACTTAATGAAGAGCGATAGAAATTTTTTTCCTAACTGAATTGTTATTAGTCTAGTCAACGAGTAAAATTACTTCGCATTTATATCTTCTTACTTTGTCACACAATTAGTATTCCTTAAATGAAATTTTTTATTCAAGTACAGATGATTTTTTTATGTCTAGGTAATTGGATTATTCGTTAAGATTAACATTTTTATAAAATATCCTTACATAAAACTACAATAATTGTATATTTCGTTTAATTGTATTTTTAATATTTTTGTCGAAATTATTGCTATTTAAGGAATAAACCAATAATAAATGAAAAGGAATTTAGGAAGGTGGCGAAGCGAGTCAGGGGGAAGTCACCTAGTCATTAGTCAAAGCAGTTTTAATTTAACAGTTAAAACATTTTAATTTTAACAGTTTTAAATTTGTAATGTATGTGTGCATGTATAAGCAAAAAATACCTTTCTAAAAATATACTGTTAATAATTTAGATCAAGTTTCGAAAATAGTTTAATCGTTTTTACCAGTTTCACACGAAGAAAAAACTCTCGTTCATGCAAATATTTAAATTTAAGTAAATGTTCTAATAGTTTTGAAAAGGAATAAAGTCTTTGAGACTTTGAAAAAGATTTTCATGTTTACTAAATTTTTGATTTATTGTACTCGAGATTTTATATTAGTAGTAAATATATACGAATATTACGAATAATGCATGAATATAAGTTTTCAGGAGAGCTTGAAATTATCGCCAAATTTTAAATGCATCCTGAGCTTTAAAAATGTTTCAAAAGCATTTTACCATATAGTTTTCATGCGAANTTTTTAATATTTTTGTCGAAATTATTGCTATTTAAGGAATAAACCAATAATAAATGAAAAGGAATTTAGGAAGGTGGCGAAGCGAGCCAGGGGGAAGTCACCTAGTCATTAGTCTAAGCAGTTTTAATTTAACAGTTAAAACATTTTAATTTTAACAGTTTTAAATTTGTAGTGTATGTGCGCATGTATACGCAAAAGTACCTTTCTAAAAATATACTTTTAATAATTTAGATCAAGTTTCGAAAATAGTCTAATCTTTTTTACCAGTTTCACACGAAAAGAAAAACTCTCATTCATGCAAATATTTAAATTTAAGTAAATGTTCTAATAGTTTAGAAAAGGAATAAAGTCTTTCAGGTTTTGAAAAAGATTTTTATGTTAACTAAATTTTTGATTTATTGTACTCGAGATGTTATATTAGTAGTAAATATATATGAATATTACGAATAATGCATGAATATCAGTTTTCAGGAGAGCTTGAAATTATCGCCAAATTTTAAATGCATTCAGAGCTTTAAAAGTGTTTCAAAAGCATTTTACTATATAGTTTTCATACGAATAAATCTTAATTCGTTATTTTGATTTTAAAAAAATGGCAAACAAACTTTTTTTTAAAAATTTAATCTCCAAATATCCGAGAATATTCATATAAATTGTAAGGACTTAATTTAACTTAAAAAAGTTTAATTGTGCTTAATTGTCATACAGCAATCTAGTTTTTTCATTCCCAGCATTTATTATTTTAAAGAAGGAATCATTTTATTGTTTAACCTCGTAAACAATTAAAAATTCTTCTAGAACAAAAATTTCCAACTTAAAAACATTTTAAAAACTTTTTAAAATTACTCTTAAAAAATTCAAATTAATTTTCAAGTTATTTTGATTAAAATATAAGATCTCTATATGGTAAAAAAAACTAACAAAACTTAAAGTTGCGGCAATTAGAATGTTATTGTTTAAAAATCAAAATACAATAGTACTTAATTTTTTAAGCTAAAAAAATCTTTTATAACTGAAAAATCATTTCGTTTCAAAAAAATATTTCCTAAAAAAGAAGGACGAAAACTTTCACGCCATTAGTATCGGATATTGAATGTAACTGAAAATATATTTTCACTAAATATTTATAGATTAAAGAAGTTCAATTATATTGAAAGGGGTCTCCTATGAGGTGACAAAGTTTCGAATTGCTGGCGATACGAATTTCGCAACCAGCTCACACCGACCACAATGCTGATATAAGATATTCTCAGTGACAGATGGATCAAAAGTTTTAATTTCCTTGCCATTGAGCTAACCCTGGGAGGCTTTCGTGGTTTTCTTCTCTGTGTAACACAAATACAGGTTGGTTCTATCAACAAGTTCATCAGGAGGGCTAGTTTGTCCCAATGCTTGATCCTGGAATTCCCTTGCCCTCTGTGTTCCCCCTTATCTTTCCTTGTGTGGATTCGGTTCAAAATTGCAAAGTTACGGAGTTAAACCTTGATAGGTGTAAACAAAGAATCGGGACGGCTGTTCAACGTTGGATATAAAGTAAAATAAAATCGTATTGAAACATTGAGTAACAAATTGCATAATTCCGATTTTTAATTGTATTTTTCAAACTGTACTTCATCTTCTGTTCTTATTGTTCTTCTCTTAACATTATTTAAGTTAACAAATTAAAAAATTTAATTTAGCCCTTAATTTGGACACAATATTATAGTGCAACGTGCTTTTTATATAGTGCATATTTCTATTTTCTTGTACATAAAATGATTTTGAGATCAAAACTTTCTACACTTTTTTCAAATCAAAACTGAAAAAAAAAATTAGGTTTGATAATTTTTCTAATGTATTTATGAAAAATGATCAATATATAGATATTAAAGCTATTTTAAGTTAAATATATTTAGGAAAAATGAGTTAGCTTCACATTTTATATGATGTAAAATTTGATTAGACCAAAAATATTCTTATTCCCCTGTTTATATTTTTTAAATGATGCAACTGATACCACAAATTGCAATTGACATAAATATTCTTCTTAATTTACTGAAAAAGAAGTGAAAAACTGGAGTTTATTTAACTCCAGCTTTTTCCCTAAATGGAACGGTAAATAATTCTCAAAGGGAAAAGCACTGCAGGTTGAAAAAAATTGCCTAATTTAATTAGATTTTTTTCATGTTGTTTTGATAGGGAAACTTTTGAATTAGCTTCAAAATTTTGCAGAACTTCAATTTACTTATTATTGCTATCAACTATTTTTATCCCAAATAAAGAATATTTGTGTATAATATAAATATTTAAAAACTGTTGACAAATTTCTGCCAGTTTTTCTTTAACCCCTTAACGATCGGTTAATTTTCAAGAAAACGGTCATAAAAGTTCTATTTTGCCAAATACACATATTTGATTAGTGCTAGTATCTTAGTTTAAAATTAACTAACTATTTACAATTACTTTAAAAATATCCTGGTACTGCTATATGGTGTGTAAAATGATAAATAAAATGCTTTCCTGGCAAAAGAAATGAATTACTTTTATTCTTATCTTTGTAGAACTACTGAACACTCCAGCCCGTCAATATCACGGGAGCGAGAATTAGCGAGCGAAAACTCACCCTGTCATTTTCACGGGAGCGAGATTTAGGACTAAATAATGAATGTTAACAATTATATTTTATCTCAAAAAAAGTACTCATTTAAAATAAAAATGCTAAAAACCGACATCAAGTGTGGTGGTTACAGAATACCTTGAATAAGGAAACGCAGGTAGATATTGAATAAGGAATGCATGTATAATATAGAATTTACTCTTAGAATGCCGCAAAGATCCCTTACCATTTACTGCGAAGATGTTTTACTAATGTGATAGATCTAGTACATAACCGTTAGAATTCGTATTTTGCGGATATCATGAGAAATCTTCCCACATGAATATCTAAAGTTTTCCGCAGGCATGGGAACACGAGTAAAAGTATTTTTAAGGGAGGAGAATCGAAGAAATGACATGACTCTCTCAATCTATATCAAGACAATGCGAAGCGGCTAAGGCTGTTTTTAAAAGGCTTTATCGTCACTTTTTTCAAATAATATGCTATTTTCACAACTGTGCTGAGAGCTTACAACGGTAATTCACGATTGTTAGGTCAAGTTTAGCCTGTCTTTAACCAGCACTCTCTGTGCTGATTCTTAAAATGGCACAAAACGCCAATATGAAGAAAAAATCAAGTTTTCTGAAAATCTAAAACTATTGTGATCAAATTTTTTAATATTTAAATATTTGCTCTAACTCTGCCTCATAAAGGCTCAAAGAACTTTTTTTTTAAAATAATTAAAATTAAACATTTGCTTTTTTTTATCTAGGTTATTAAATTATTAATTTTTATCTACGTGAAAAAATTTCACCAAATTGGGGATTTCTAAAAATTTTAATAGCTTTTATAAATTATATTCGCCTTAAATAATTATTTGTGCGTTTTAAAGGACACATTATTCTTTAAAGCAAAATGGAACTCATAGTTTAAACTTAGATCTTTACCTCAAGTGTGAGACAATTAAGCTGTGGCTTTTTCATTTTTCTTGGCTGAAGATTTTCGAAGAATACTATTAAACGCACTTCCCTAATCAATGTGAGACTTCAAGTATGCCCTACCCTTATTGATGAAAAGCGCAAATGATATTTTCTTGAATAATATTTAATTTTTTCATACTTTTTTTCTACAGGATGTTGTTACGGTGATAGTCAGGTCTACAAGTGCGCTCCGTTCGACAATGCTGTGTGTTGTCCTGGTGGAGACTACAGTTGTCCTCCAGGAAAATCTTGCGTCAAAATTCTTTGGTGGTACATTTGCGTAAATGCTATGGCACTTTGCAGCGACGGAAGCTACGATTTTCAAAAGGGTCTCTCGGAAGCGCTGATGAATGCTAAGAGATATGCTTAGGAAATACAAAAGATGTTACTGAAATGTATTTAGAATGTATATAAGATATTTATAAATGTCTAAGAAACGACAAGCAATAAAGGACTTGTTTTCATCCATATGCATGTATTTATGTGAAGTTACTTTACATTTTTTATTACAAAAAAAACCTTTTAAATATTGTATTGAGATATTAAATTAATCCCTTTATATTGAAACTAATTTATTTTCATAAATTAATCTCTTATATTAAAATCATTGGGACCACCTTTTTTTGTATGTCAAGTAAAGTTATTAAGAAGCAATTAGGAATTTAAAGTTGCGAAGGACTAATAAAATGATCAGGGATTATGATGGAATAATAAAATAGCTTTTGGTAATTTGTTTGTATAACTTTTAAACTTGTGGGGAAAAATATCATCAGGACAACTCTTGGAGTCATAAAATAATAAGTAAAATATTTTCTTGAATCAGCATTATGTTGCCCTTTATTGGTAGTGTTCAAAAATATTTAAATAAAAAAAAATAATAAGTTGCCTGAAGCAGTAAACATTACAGTTTTAGCATTTTCATTCTTTTTACCAACATGTAGTATCAATAAATTTTTTATATTATTAGCTTTATTAAAATAAAAGATGCAAAAAACATCTTCTCTATTACCATGTATGGAAAAATTTTAAGCCTTTGTTAAATCTACCATTTCATATTACAAGTTGATATAAAAAGAATATTTCATAACTTTTATAATAGTCAAGTTTATACTATAAATCGCTAAACTTGCTCTAATTCAAAGTATATAATATATAGAAAGTATATCGAAATAAAGTAAAAAGTATAGAGCATATAGTATAAAGTGTATAGAAATAAAGCTTAATAAATGGTCGCTAACAAAATGGAAAATGTAGCAGAAGGAAGAGCTGTTAGTGGAACTAAATTTTAAATGCTCTTTTATTTCAAATAATAAAATTCGTGTCATACGAATATTGAGGCAAGTTGAATATTGATGAATATTGAATAATATTAATGTGAAATGTATACTTAAAAGTCAATTAATTAACGTTCAAAAAAATTCTTTATTTTAACACTATCTAACATTCAGCTTTAAAAAAATTTTTAAACTAAAATATGATGGAAATTTTTTAATTCATTTTCTTATATTATTACTTATTTTTTAAATTTTAATTTATAATATTTTAATTTATTATTTTTTTTTACTAACAGAGTATTAACAGATGTTATTAACAGGGGATACAAAAAATGAAGCATCCTTAGTTTTGTTAAAGCCTTAATTTTTAGAATGCAGCAAATATAATGAAAATTTTTAAAATAGCCACCTAACCAAAAAATAGTAAATTGAGGGAGACAGGAGACACAGTTTCGCCAACTCAACAGAAATAATTTTAAAATCAGAGTGGAAAAAATTCTGGGGCAACGCTAAACTGTTTGATTTTCACTCAAAAGTAATTTTAAAACTATCTCTCTATATATCGCTGCTATATATTACATACAAAGCATTTTTCACAACTAGATAAATTAAAATTGTTTTCAAATAACAGTTGATTTAATTGGAGTTAAATACCAGGCAAAGAAGTCCGGTAATAGCAATTTGTTTGCATCTGACGTATTAAAATGGTATTACCCAAGCAATATTTTTAAAATACAAATTTCAATGTATATGCAATACATTTACTTAAAACACATAGTTCACTATGTTGAATGTGTAAAAAATTCTCTTTGAAATATTAATTTAGCAATTAAGATTATTTAAAGTCAAGGGACTTCAAATGTACAAGCTTTTTGAAACTACCCCATATAAATTTAGGAACATAAATTTAAAATAAATAAATGCATTTATGTAATAAAATTATAAACATGGCAGTATAAATCTGTATTGTAGTGTGTTTGTATTCATAAGTCATGACGATATATAAGCCTAACTTATGTTCATTAAGTAAAACTTAAATTAAGACATCATATTACATTTCAAAATGTGAGCGAAAATCCATTGAGCATTACTTTTACTTGGTAAACAAAATAAAATACAATTTCTTATAATATTTGTCCATAAACAAAGTTGTATATAAATTCTACATAAATAATACATCAATATATGCTGGGAAAGTAAATGACTTAAACTCAAATTAAAACATTTATTGCATTTTAAATGTGAGTGAGATTCCATTAATCACTACTTGATAGATAAAATAATGTACTGTTATTGACAATATTTATTTATAATCATAATCTATATACATATTTCTCTTACACGGCAACAAAAAAAGCCTCATTACAACTCCCCGAATGGCAATGCAAGAAAATCGACCAATGATTGTCGCTAAAAATGTCACATGCCAAATCTTGCTGAGGTGGCTCAACACATAGCGCTTTTAAAAACGGAAACTGAAATAACCAGAGAGAGCATCAGCAGGTTTTTCATATCATCTGCTGCAATTTCATACTATTAAGCTAGGCAGAAGTGAGTAGTCTTTGTCGATAGATCTCTATTTTAGTATTTTGTCAAAAGCGCTTTTTTTCACGAATTTATATAGACTAAACCAGTTTTTAGTCATGGACAACTTTATGTTGGCCTCTCTAGGGTTAGATCATTTGATAGCCTAACAGCGATAGCTCTAAGTCCAGAAATTTATAATTGTGTGTTTAAGGAAGTTCTTAGTCTTTAATAGTAATTATTTTTTTGTTATTAACAAAGCCCTTAATCTTTCTCAGTATTTGTTCGCATTTAGTATTTATTGCAAATTAATGTTCAGTTTCTGCAAGTATTTCTTTTGTATGTCAAACTTCTAAGACTAATACTTATGTTTTTAACAAAGTTGTGAATCGTTCATGGTTATTATTTTTTAAAAACACAATGTTTTGTTTATGCCGGTTTTCCCTTGCAATTCACTTATTTCAATTTTTAATAGACTTAATTATAGCCAAAATCTTAAACTTTTTAAAGAGATATTAGTTTCAGAAATTTTATCTTAAGATGTCATACTATAGCACATTTCTAATAGGTTTAACGAATTACATGTCATCTATTTGAATTCAAATTTATTTTAATGACTTAGTATTTACTAAAAAGATGTTGTTGTTTTTTTAAAAAAAAGTTGTTATTTTATTTATTTATTCATTTTTTTGAAGAAGAAGGTAAAAACACATGATTCTTGAACGATCCGGATAATTGGATAATTGGATCCGGATAAAACGGGAGTTCCGATAATAAGCGCTCTACTATATATTTATACATTTAATTAGGTTATCTTTAAAACAGCAGGCTGATTCATTCTACCTATTATCTAATACTCAGGAAACAAAATATTCCTAAAAACAATTACTTTGAATCAATAAGGAACTTAGCTGGTAAGTGGCACACTCGGTAAAAAAATACAATAAATCAGTATTTCAGATAGACCAATAGGATTATTTCAGGATCCCTTCATTCTTATCTTCTTTTAAAAGATCCCGGTATTGTTTTGACTACTTGATCAACATTTTTTTTTCTTAATGATACAAAAGAATTTGGTTTCACTTCCACTGTATACTTTATTCATGCAGTCTTATCAATTGTTGTCAAAGATAATTTTAGAGTTGTTTTACTATATAAATCAGATGCTTTCGAAATAAAAATTATTCCGAAATACTTATTTATACTATTGTTCTGTAACTTGAAAATATCCGAAGCACTTCATCATGTAAGTATTTATTATTAAATTGCATAAATAATTAAGTGATATAATACTAATAATTGTTTCATTAAATTTTCACTGTTACGGCTTATATATAGTCTATATACAGTTTATATATAGCTTAAAAATTCATTTCTTAGTACAAGTATTATTTCGATTTACACTTTATCATGTAAGAATTAAATATTATAACTAAATCATTGACCTATAAATGTAAATTTTTTAAATTTATCTCATTGTTTATATTTTTAAATGGAGCTTAAAAAATTTTCTGTTTTGTTAGTAAGATTATTATATTTATTTAATTATTTGTTGATAATTATAACTATTAAATTTATTTGAAGTTATTGCTTTCATTTATACTTCCCGATGCAATAATTAATTATTTAATATTATAAATAATAACTTGATCTAAAACTGTAAATTTTCTCTATTATTTCATGAAGTCCTTACTGTTTATAATAAATAGAAGTTAAAAAATTACTGTTTTGTATGTAAAATTATTATATTTATTTATATTTTGAAATAACAGATATTGTTTTTAAATTTTCCTTAATGTGTATTGGTAATTAAAAAAAGTTTACGTTATAACATTTTTTGTACCGAAGGTTCGTAATGTGAATTAAATAATGTTGGTAGTAAATAAAATTATTTACTTATATAAAGCTATTAATAAAACTATTGAAACCTTCAACGAATTTCTACGCATAACTGAATGAAATTGTTAATAAAGTCTACGTCTCTTTAAGCTCTTTAAGTGTTAAAATAAAATAAATTCGCCGAAAATTTATAAATGTTGTTTTTAATTTTCGCAACTAACTATTTAATTCAACTTAATTATTATATTTGCAGCTAAATATTGTTAAACGACAGAAAAATTATGATGTTATTTGTTAAAGCCAAAAGTGATACTGTTTGTATAACTATTGTTTATAACTTATTTTTATAACAGCTTTATCAAAGTTTAATAGCAACAACAAATAAACTAAGAAGATGAAAAATTATAAATTTAATACTTATAATGTATTGTTGAATGATAAGGATTTAATGATTTTATCTTCTAACAATAAAAGTGAGAAAAAGTTTTAAATTTGTTAATAGATACAAGGCAAACTTTAAGTATTTTTAAATGATAAATAAGCACATTTTTCCTAACGATTGAAAAACGACTACTTGAGACTTCAATTTTGTAAATGCTTTATCTATGTTTCCTGCAAATAATATTTAAACTTTGAAGAGAAATTTAAATTTTTGTGTTGTTAAATGATTAAAATATAAAATCATTTGATAAAATTAAAAATAAGACAGATAGAAAGTTCGTTTTTGAAAATTTGTCATCAATATTCCTTAACATTGCTAATTAAACTATTACTACGAATAATGAAACATTAAATACTTAAATTCCATAAATTAATTTCATCTAAAT